CAACTGGGAGAGCATTTCACACTTTGCAGACTTGCAAAAATTCAAAAGCCTTCCACTATTAAGTTTTGGCAATATGTTAAATTACTGAGTCAGGAATATCTGGTTGAAGAATTCTAAAGCAGGCAGCTGAAAAGAAAAAAAAAAAACATATAAAACAAGCCCTAAACACTGAGCCCCAAGGTCATTTTGCCCTTGAAAAAATAATGTCAGATTCTTGTTGAGGATTTATGGAAGGAAGAGTGTGTACATACTGATAGAAAGAGGGATGTTTAGATTTGAAAACTTTCTACCCTTTTTGGGGGGAGGAGTTAAAAATTTTTCCAGCTTTGTTGAGATATTACTGACATATAACACACGTAAGTTTAAGATATACAATGTGATGATTTGGTACGTGCATACGTTGTAATGTGATAGCCACAGTAAGGTTACCTCCTTTGCCTCACATAATTAATTACCTTTGTGTGTGTGCGGTGATAACTTTTAAGATCTACACTCCTAGAACTTTCAAGTACATAATACAGTATTGTTAATTATCGTCACCATGCTGTTCATCATTAGGTCCCTAGAACTTAACCATCATAGAGCTGGAAGTCTGTACCCTTTGACCACCTCCACCCACGTCGCCCACCTCTCTGGCCCTGGCAACCACCATTTTACTCTCTATTTCTTTGAATTCAATTATTTAGATCCCACTTATGAGTGAGAACATATAGTACTTGTCTTTCTCAGTCTGACTTACTTCACTTAGCATAATGTCCACCCATATTGTCACAAAAGGCAGGATTTCCTTCTCTTCGTGGCTAAATAAATTGTGTATGTACACCACATTTTCCTTATTCGTTCATCTGTTCAAGGACACTTGTTTCCATGTCTTGGCCATGGTAATAACGCTGCAATGAACGGGAGGGTGCAGATACCTCTTCGAGGTAGTGATTTTATTTCTTTTGGATAAATGCTGAGCAGTGGGATTGCTGGATCATATGGTAGTTCTATTTTTAGTTTTTCTGAGGAACTTTCATACTATTTTCCATAGTGGCTGCATCAATTTACATTCCCACTTTCCTCACACCTTTGCCAACACGTTATCGCGTCTTTTTGATAATAGCTATTCTAACAGGTGCGAGTTGATAGTTTCGATTTGCATTTCCCTGATGATTAATGATGTTGAACACCCTATCATACGCCTGCTAGCCATCTGTCTGGCTTCAAAATGTCTATTCAATTCCTTTGCCTGTTTTTTAATTGAATTGTTTGTAAAACCCTCTACTCTTTAAAACGGTTCCCTGTTTCTCAAGTTTCTTTAAGATTAACATAATAATCAATTATATATTTCACAATATATTGTATTAAGAACTCAGAACCAAAAATCTACCTATATGCTGTTTATAAGATGCCCACTTAAAGCAAAGCAGGACAAAAATAAAACAGCGGAAAAATAAAGAGCGTAATGATGATCAGAGATAAAGGAGGATTTAAGACAGAAACATCAACTGAGGCAAAGATGCTTTTTTATATATAAAAAAAGGAGAAGCCATAATGAAAATATCACATTCTGGGACATTTACGGGGAGGAATAATTTCAAATCAATATATATGAAGAATCTGATGGCAACACAATAGCCATGGGAGGCTTTAACTCATTTTTCTCGAGATTTCACAGCTAAAGTAGTCAAAACAGTTTAGTGAACAGACACATAGAGAAATGTGTATGATACAGAGTAAACATTATCTCAGATGTACATGAAAGTTTTATAAAAATGGATTATATCCTAAGCCATAATGAAAACCTCAATGCCAAAAATATAAAGTTCTAGGAGTCGTGTCCTCAGGCCACAATAACAAAAGGATACATTAAATAAAGACTCTTTTCCAAATAACTTTAGGATGAAAAAAGAAAATCAAATCTTCGGTGTGGAATATTTTTAAAATATTTATATCAGGCAGCTAAAATCTACCTCGGGGGGAAAAAAATCATAGTTATGGAACAGGGTTTCTCAACCTCAGCACTATTGACATTTCGGGGTACATAATTCTTTTTTGGGGGGTGTCCTGTTAATTGTAGGGTGTTTAGCAGTATCCCTGGCCTCCACTCACTGAATGCCGATAGCATGCCCGCCACCCCCACACACCAGTTGTGAAAAACAAAAATGTCTTCAGACGTTGCCAAATGTCTCCTACCTGGCAAAATGGTCCTGTTTGAATCCCTGCCCTAGATCTTTCCAGTACTAAAAAAGCAGCTGTGAAACATTGTTAAATTCGAAAAGCTAGATAAAAGAAACGCATGGTACCTGAGGGTCAACATTAATGGAGAGGAAAGAAGTCAGTTAATTAATGATTAATTAATTTAATTAATGATTAGAAGAGTTGTTGAATTGATTTTTTAAATATAAGAACCGGTCCTCTGGATAGACAGTTAAAAATATATAGACTTTTGAGAAAGAAAATTTTGAAAGCAACATACATTCAGAATATTATAATTATGAATAGGAATTTGACTACAAAAACCATTGAGTAAGTTAAAAATATGATAATATCCCAGTTATTATATTCCCATATTATCCTACAGTTATAAGCTATTAGTGTCAAAATCTGGATAAAGTAGGAAATCTTCTAAATATATATATATAATTTACCCAAACTAACTCAAGAGAACATGGAAATTAAAACAGACCTATTAGCCATGGAAAATCAATCTTTCAAAATGCACTGAGCCTCAGGTCATTTTAGATCTAAACTCATTTATCTAAGGAAAACATAATTTTTATGTTTTTACTGGTCCAGAGCATAAAGAAAAAAGGAAGCATCTCAGTTTTTTTTTTTCCTAAAGCTGACCATAAACACAAACACCAACATTTGACAACAATAACCCTAAAAAATGGAAACTGAAGGAGACATAAAAAACAAAGTTCTTTGGAACTGAAGACATGCCAGATGAATTCAAACACACACACACACACACACACACACACACACACACACACACCCCACACACACAGGCAAAGATAGCAATATTAATATCAGACTCCACTGAATTCAAGGCAAAAATGAGACACTTTATAATAATATTAAAGTTCACTCCACAATGAAGCAATAATTGCCAGTATTCTTTTTTGCAATAAAAAACATCAAATTCCCAAAACAAATCTTTAAGCATTAAAGGGAGATTTCGATGGAAGCAACCTAGTTGTAGTAATCGGCAAAGATAGCAATGTTAACATCAGACTCCACTGAATTCAAGGCAAAAATGAGACACTTTATAATAATATTAAAGTTCACTCCACAATGAAGCAATAATTGCCAGTATTCTTTTTTGCAATAAAAAACATCAAATTCCCAAAACAAATCTTTAAGCATTAAAGGGAGATTTCGATGGAAGCAACCTAGTTGTAGTAATCTAGACAGTCTGTGTTAGATTCAAGAGCCAGAAAGTACGAAAGAATCGAAATGATATAGTCACCACTGATCAAACAGATCTGTGTTGTACTCCTGTATTAATCTGCAAACACACCTTATCCTTTGCCTTTAAGTACTATGGATTATGTACACACTTTAAACACATTTGGGTTCCCAAGGAAACCTTAACCAAAAGTGCAGATAGTACAGACCATATTCTGTGACCTCTTTTGTTACTAGAAATTAGTAGCAAAAAGGAAAATAAACAAATAAACAAAATTAACCTCTTAGAAATTTCAAAACTCCTCTTAAACAACTCTTGGGTAAAAGAAGAAATTTAAATTGCAATTAAAAATATATACATAAAAGAGAAAAATAACCCAAATCTTACATGATGAAGTTTACGAAAAATGTTAAAAAGGCATGCTCAATGGAAAATTCATAGCATGAAACGTATTTCTAAAAATCAAGAATGAAAATAATGAATTAAAAAGGCAACTCAAACGGAGGGGGAGGTAACGATAATAAATCTTTAAAAATCAGAGGAAGAGATTAATAAAGATAAGATTAGACATTAAAGAAATAGAAAACGTGATCAACAAATTGGAGATTTGATTCTTTTGAGGAGAAAAAAAAATCCCACATAATATAATGGACAACCCATGAGCTTGCCTAATGAAGAAAAAGTGAGAGCAAAACACAGATACTCAACAAGAGAAATGAGAAAGGGAAAATAACCACAGATGCAGAGGAAATGAAAATAATTGTGAGTATGCGCATCGGTGTGTCTCATTGAACAGCGTGTGTATATATGTGTTTATGTGAAGAGTACGCACTATTCTAAATACGTGTTTAGTATGACAAATGGCTATCTGTAAAAATCAGGGGCTTTTTGATATTCCTAAAATAACCAGTTAGAAAATATAATAGGGAACAGTTAAGAAAATTACTGACCTATAGGAAGAAAAGTGCCAAATTTTATTAAGGGATTTATTAATTCTAAGTATTTAATAAACCCTTAGACAGTATAGGGCTTATTATGTGCCAGGCACATTTAATCCTTAACAACCATAGAAGGTAGGTTTAATTATTACCTACCTGCATGTTTCAGATGAAGAAACTGAGGCACAGAGAAGTTAAGTAACTTGGCCAAAGTTACCCAGCTTATAAGTGGCTGAACCAAGATCCAAAACACAGCCAGCTTCCAGCGTCCGCGCCCTTTGCTATCATGCTGCATAATGAGTAAAGGCAGAGACTTACCGTGTGTCAGGAAAGAAGCCTGAGCATCATAACATGATCCATTCACAGCTGGACTGAGTTGTCCAGCAAGAGCTGAAATGCTGACCATCTGTCTAGGGTGAATGTCAATGGCATGGCAAACTCTCAAGGAGCCATGGGCCCCCCCACTGCGTCGCCAAATCATGCAGGGGTCAGACTAGCACAGACCGTCACCTATCAGGGACCCATGGGCAAACAGCGGATCAGAGTGGAGCTGGCCGCCCTCCGCTTTTCATCTGCATACCCCTCCTCCGGGTCCCGTATGTGGATGTCATGCTGTGGCAGGGCGGGTCCTTTCTAACTCAAAACGCCCTGCCCTTCTCTTTTAGATCCAGGAGATGGTCCACTCGGAAGTTGCCGCCTATGACGCTGGCCGGCCGGGGCCCCTCCTGGGCCGCCCGGCAATGCTGGCCAGCCACATGAGCGCCCTCAGCCAGTCCCAGCTCATTTCTCAGATGGGTATCCGAAGCGGCATTGCCCACAGCTCCCCGTCGCCCCCAGGGAGCAAGTCAGCGACCCCCTCTCCCTCCAGCTCGACTCAGGAGGAGGAAACGGAAGCACATTTCAAGGTACGGAGGGTGGAGATGCAAAGCCTTAAGATGTCCTCCCATCAGCCGAAGGACAGGCCCTGCATGGAAATGGGCATCGTCTACCTGTAGAAAAGACTAGAAGAGTTCATAACTGTACCTTTGCTGGAGAAAAAAGGAAAGATGGGGGAGAAAATGATCAAGTCTTATTTCTGAATGGCCAGTGGGTCATTTCAGTGGTACCGATGACATTGGCCAGATCCTCAGGGTCACGTCTCATGGTTATCATGGCCTTGTAGGAGAAAATAGTCTGACAAAAATGTATGGTCCAGTAGAGGGCAGCACTGATCTTAGGATGGGGAACTAAAGATGACCCCACCCCAACCCTGGAGACTAGGCTCGCCCAGCATCCCTGGAGCTGGACTGGTCCTTCCTCTCCAATCATACGTCAGGACAGAGCTCGCCAGTTGTCCAGGCTCCGGCCCTTTCTTGGCACTGCCTCCAAGTCTCCCTCCCTCTTGGAGAGTGTCTTGTTTAACAGGGGCAGAAACAGAGGCCCAGAAGGGCCAGGGATGGAGGTGCTTGCCAGGAGTCTCCCAGTGAGCTCGTGGCAGAATCAAGACTTGATCCCACATCTCCTGCCTCCTTTTTTTTTTTTTTCATAAGGCCTCACACTCCCGTGGTGGCCCCGCAGAGGCCTGGGCAGTTACCATGGCACCCATGCCATGGAGCAGAGACCCTGACCTCCTGGCTGGAATGGGTGCCTCTGGGTCCTGGTCCAGCTCCATCTTCACAATAACTTCATCTCTACCATAGGCCAGCCAGGGTGGTTTTTCTTTTTTCTTTTCTTTTTTCTTTTCTTCTCTCTCTCTCTTTCTCTCTCTCCTTCCTTCCTCCCTCCCTCCCTCCCTCCCTCCCTCCCTTCCTTCCTTCCTTCCTTCCTTCCTTCCTTCTTTCTTTCCTTCTTTCTTTCTATATATTTACCAAACATTCTAAAACACTTCCCATGGGCCAGACAGTGTGTAAGCACATACTAAGTTTTAATGCATGTGATGCTTATCACAACCTTCTGTGGTAGGTGCCATTATTATCTCGGATTGGTTGATGGGGAAACTGAGGCACAGAGAGGTTAAGTAACTGTTTTGATTCATTCTCCATTATTGATTAGAAGATTTTATACTCTGTAAAGGTTAACTTGGGAAAAGTGATAAAGATCTAAATGATTTTTGTCTCATTACAAGGCAAATTAGTTTGTCCCTATAGAGGTGCAAATGACTGCTGTCCAGTAGAAAACATTAAATTAAGCCCCCAAAGAGATAATTTTATTGCTCTATAGGGCATTAACCAGTTTCTCTTTCTCTTGTATTTCTTTGAATCAACTTTACCATCATGCTGATTGTCATTAATGAGTTAAACAAAAAACCCAGGGTGTGTGTGTGTGTGTGTGTGTGTGTGTGTGTGTGTGTGTGTGTGTGTGTCTGTCTGTCTGTCTGTCTGTCTGTCTGTCTGTCTGTCTAGCCATTGCTTCCTCCACCTAGAAAGTGGCTATGCCAACAGCGTTGGAGCCTGGGATATTGGCCAGCCCCCAGTCATTGTCTGTGTGTGAACAGGGCCTGACAAAGCTGGGGTGGGCCTGCCGAGGACAGTCCAGCTCTGCCTGGAGGAGGCCCTGGGCTTTTCAGATTTTCTGACTCCTCCCACCTGGGCAGATGTCAGGAGAGAAGAGACCCTCAACTGACCCAGGAAAAAAGGCCAAGAACCCAAAGAAGAAGAAGAAGAAGGACCCCAATGAGCCGCAGAAGCCAGTGTCGGCCTACGCCCTTTTCTTCAGAGACACTCAGGCCGCCATCAAGGGACAGAACCCCAGCGCCACCTTCGGGGATGTGTCCAAAATTGTGGCCTCCATGTGGGACAGCCTGGGAGAGGAACAGAAGCAGGTGAGTCTCTGTCCCTTTTCGGGCCATCCCCTGAGGCTTTGAGGTCCTGGAGACAATGACAGACTCCGAGGGTGTGGACCTGGGCCCAGCCTCTGGAACTAAAGGCTCCCGCAGAGGTCTTTATGGGGCTCAGTGTGCCCATCTGCAAGCTGAGAAGTGAGGTCCCTTCCAGTTCTGTCTTCCAACTGTGCTCACTAGCATCCTAACCGTCTGGGCCTCTGCTCCCTCATGTCATACAAGAGCATCCCCGTTTATCTTGTCTTTCCAACTCTCAAAGTCTGGGGTTTAGACTAGAGCTTTCGTATCCCACTGACCATATGCCTGAGGCCCCCATCAAGGGCCTCCAGGGGGAACAGGGAGCAGAACTAGGTCACAGGCAAATGCAGCGAATGGCAGCTCCCAGTTATATGACCTTGGGCTGACCGCCTAAGCTCTCCGCAATGCTGCCCATATCTTGGGTCTTTCAGGCCTACAAGAGGAAGACCGAAGCAGCAAAGAAGGAATATCTGAAGGCCCTGGCAGCCTACAGGGCGAGCCTCGTCTCCAAGGTAACACCTGGATCCTAGGCACAGCCCGATAAGAGTGGGGCCACTTGAGGGATGGAGCAGGAACTGAGCCCAGGGGATGGTCAACACCATAGGTCTTGGAAAGGATGGATGGATACAGCCACTGTGGTCTGTTCTCCAGGGCACCTACTGTGTGCCAGGCTCACGCTGGCCACTTTATATGCATCATATTTCATTCAGTGCTTCCAACAAGAACCGAGGACTCAGAGGAATTAAGCAACTTGCCTGACATTGTCCAGCATGTTAGCTGGCTGCAGCAGGATGCAAACCCAGTTTTGCCTCTTTTCAAATTTGTGCTTTACTCCCGAGCTCTCTCTCTGCCTCCTCTGTCAACACCAGCGCCGCAGGAGGCTCAGCATGGCACGGACATGTAGTGCAGTTGGAGGAAGGGTGTGTGTGGAAGCTGTTACAGAGGACATGGCGTCTGGGTTAGGCCATAAAGGGCCAAGCAAAGAGCGTGCTCCAAACCGAGGGAACAGCACATGCAAAGGCACAGGGACGGAGGAGGGGCGTAAATAGAGGCTGGCCCCTCTGGATGGTGCTGGTGTCACTGGCCAGGCCGAGGACTGTGGGTTCCCCATGGGCACAGGAGCCCCAGGAGTTAAAGCAGGGGGTGGTTGGATGGTCAATGCACTAAGGACCCTGAATTATCCCTGGTTAGTCCATAGCTCTCTCCCAAGGGGCTAGGGAGCCAGCCAGAGGCCATGTCAATGGGTTGCAGAATGGCCTGGTCTCATGGCCCAAGTTCTGGCTTTTCCATCTTCTCCAGAGTGACTGGTGTCTGTCTCCTTCCAGAGCTCCCCAGACCAGGGCGAGACCAAGAGCACTCAGGTGAACCCGCCGGCCAAGATGCTCCCGCCCAAGCCGCCCATGTACGCCATGCCGGGGCTGGCCTCCTTCCTGACGCCAACGGACCTGCCCGCCTTCCGCGGCGGGGCCTCCCCCGCCAGCCTCGCCCGGACGCTGAGCTCGAAGTCGCTGCTGCCAGGCCTCAGCGCGTCCCCTCCGCCACCACCCTCCTTCCCGCTCAGCCCCTCTCTGCACCAGCAGCTGCCACTGCCCCCCCACGCCCAGAGCGCCCTCCTCAGTCCACCCGTCAGCATGTCCCCAGCCCCCCAGCCTCCCGTCCTGCCCACTCCCATGGCACTCCAGGTGCAGCTGGCTATGAGCCCCTCACCCTCAGGGCCACAGGTAAGCAGGACTGAGTAGAAACCTGCTCTTCTGGGACCCCTTGTGGGGGAAGGGGGTAGCTCAGGGTTGCAGATACCGGCCCTGCCACTCACCAGCTATGTAGCAGCAGCCTAGGTACCTCACCTCTCTGAGCCTCAGTTACCACCTCAATGAGATGGGTCTGATACACCTTACCTGAGATGGACTGGCTGCAGCAAACTGTTGACAAGTTGCCAGATTCTTCAGATTCGTGGGGTATTCCAGGCTCTCCTTCTCTCACGCTCAGTCCTCTTCTGCTCTCTAGCCTGAGGGGCTGAAGCCACTGCGGCTTCCACCAGGTCAGCCCCAGCCCCTGGCTCTGCCCAAACCCTTCGAGGTCTGACCCCACCAATTATTCCACTGACACAGTTCCAAGACTTGCATAAGGTCACTCAGCACAATAACTTGGTTCTCTAGATTGGGAAAAGCCCCGAAAGCCCCTGACTTAACTAGGACCCGGTCAGATTGGTCAGAAGGTGCCCTACCGGGGCGTAGGAGGAGGCGTTCCCTGCAGAGGCGGAGCGGAGGTTTCGTATGGGCCGGAGGAAGTGTCTCTGTGAACTCCTTGGGCACAAACGGTTCCCGTCCTCCCCCCTGTGCCTGAACCGAACACCCCATCCTCTCGCCTGTGCTCACCCACCTGCTCCTTCCTCCTCGGCAGGACTTCCCCCACCTCTCCGAGTTCCCCAGCGGCTCCGGGTCCCGCTCGCCTGGCCCATCCAACCCCACGAACAGCGGGGACTGGGACAGCAGTTACCCCAGCGGGGAGTGTGGCATCAGCACTTGCAGGTCGGTGCTGCCCTAGTCCAGCCGTGCAGGGGAGTGGGGACGGGTGGGGACGGGAGGAGGGGGAGGAAACCCGCGAGGCCCTGCCAGGTGATGTCAGCCCCCGGGGATGCCTCAGGGACACCAGGCCCCCGCAGTCTTCAGGGGAGGACGCGGAGCAAAGCGGGGCCCCGGAAGGACTCAGCTGGTCTGGTGCCGAGGTCCACTTGGGAAACTGAGGCCCATTTTCGGTCTCGCTTTTTCTTCTTCCGTCCTGTGGTTTTCACAAGTGCATCCACGGGCCATTCACAGATGGATCCTCTGCTTCGGTCAGGTTCCCTAGAAGCAGAGCCTGAGGCAGTGGGGGACGTGGGTATCCTTGACGACCGCAGAGGGGGAGCATGCGGGGAGGAGAAGGGAGAGGAGCCAGGCAAGGGTGTGGTCGCAGCTGGAGCCCAGCGCCTGATCCCACAGGGACCTCTGGGCACCAATGGCACCGCAGACCTCGAGGTTAGGGCTGTCTAAACCCCATGTCGGTCAGCCATGGCTGTGGGGTCCCCCTGACCCCACAGAGAATGCAGCGCCCTGGGCAAGGCAGGTCCCAATTTGCCAAGGGCAGCTCTGGAGCAGAGGGCCGCTGGGAACACAGGAAAGGGCATTGGGTGAGGCACCAGCAGCATTTAAGACAGCCTAGGAGAAGAAGCCGACTATCACGCCCAAGGAGCCACAAACCTCAGTGGTCCCCACCACCCCCTGCAGCCCAACATCCCGTTCCACAGGCAGACCCCAGAGCCACTTGGCTCCTCCCTGGTCCTCATGGGCACCTCATCCTCCACGTCCCTTTTCCCGCCCTGAACCCAGCCTTTCAAACCGATGAGGACCACCCTCCTCTAGCCCGGCCCCTCCTCATCTCAGCCAGCAGGAGAGGAAAGCGGAGGGCACGCTTGCTCCTTCACCCCCCAACCTCAGCTCCCATCCCCCTGACAAGAACTAACCCCACGGCCACACCTGAGAAATACGGCACTGGGCTGCTGTCCCAGCCGCCCCTCCACATCACGGAAGGTGGGGACACATCTGGTGGACAGGTAGCCATCTCTGCCACCAGGCGCCAGCTGCGCCTAGCCCTGGCTGCTGGCCTCCAGCTCTTTACCCTGCCAGGCCCGCCAGGGAGCAAGCAAACATGGCATGTGGGAGCAAGCAAACATGGCATGTGCCCCCATTTTTGCAGGTCTACCTGGGTGGGCAGACTCAGCTCAGCAGGGAGTCCCTGTCCCCCACCCCGGCACAGACCCTCCCACCACAGCCCGCCCCCTCACAGGCTTCACTCCCCAAAGTCAGAGTACTGGGGAGAAGGGGAGTCTTTAACGGACCATCATAGAATGTCAGAGTCAGTCAGACCACAGCAGTGCCCTATTTCATGTATTCATTGTAACTGAGATGTCATTGACATATAACATTGTAAGTTTCAGGTGTACAAGACAATGATTCGATATGTGCGTACATTGTGAAATGATCACCACAGTCAGTCTAGTTACCATCCATCACCACACAGAGTTATACATTTTTTTTTTCTTGATGAAAACTTCTAAGAATGACTCTCTTAGCCATTTTCAAATACATGACTTGGTACTGTTGTAAGCGCTGTCTCCTAGCGGTGCAGGACATCCCAGGACTTCCTTGTTTCATAACTGGAAGTTTGTACCTTTCGATCCCCTTTGCTCACGCCCAGCCCCCTCCTCTGACAACCACCAATGTGTTCTCTGTATCTGTGAGCTCGGGTTTTGGGGGGGTTTGGTTGTGTTTTAGATTCCACGTCTAAGTGAGATCATACAACACTTGTCGTTCTCTGCCTTATTTCGCTTAGCACAATGCCCCCAACGGTCACCTGCGCTGTTACAGATGAGGACCCTATTTTAAAAATGTAAAAAGCACCTACCCTCCTTTAATTCTGTTGGAAATTTACAAATGAAACACTGCAACTAAAAAAATGACCTGAGGGTGATGGAGGTATTGGAAGGACGGACATGTCACAGCCACCGAGGACCAGACGGGGCAGCCCCCTGCGGGATGCCAGGAGGGGTGTTTGGTGGGCAGTCGGGGAGGGACCAGTGCAGACTCTCATTCATCCTTGAAGGGGCAGCTGCATCCGGGGTGGGAGTGAGGACTAGTGGGCAGGCATCATGGTGCTCTGGGCCCCGTGTCCACTCCCCCGAGAGCTGGTGGCACCAGGTGGTGTCCTATTGGCTCTGACGGCCCCTCCTCTCTCCCACAGCCTGCTCCCCAGGGATAAATCTCTCTACCTCACCTAATCCTGCCTCTCCTCACTTCCTGAGGCTGCTGGAAGGGCCCACAGCAGAAAAGAGGCCTTGGCAGGAAGCAGGGTGACCTAGAAGAGAGAGCAGTGACATGCCAATGCCCCAAGGCTGACAGAGATGCACCAGTGCTCCAGGGCTGAGACTCTTCCCGACCTCTTGACCAGACTCTGCAGAGGCCGCCCACCGCCCGCCACCAGCCCAAAGAACCTGCAGGACCCTTCTGCCCCCTGACCTGCTTGCTCCAGGGTCACTGTGGACCCCACTCGTCCTGCGCACCATACCCTATGTCTGGACGTCTGGCCCTAGCCCAGGCACACGTGCGCTGTCCCTGGAGGGGGTCACTTACCAACAGAAACCCACCCCCAGATGTGTGGGGCGGGGGCCAGCCCAGCCACGGACGTGCAAATGTGGTTTTACGGTGTAAACAAGAGATTATGAAACCTATAAACTGTTGGCTCCGTGTAAGTAGTTGACTAAGTGTTTTAGAACCGTGACGAAGGCATCTGTAAGATTATTTTGTGGGGAGGGAGGCGAAAGTAGTTTTCTTTAAGGTAAAAAGCATTTTATATGACCCTTAGCACATTTTTTTTTTTTTTTAAGTTTTATCTTGAGGGAGACGTGCACCAAAGCGGCTGCCGAAACATTTCATCATCTGTACAGGAAGAACAGGACACTTGACAGCCAGGCTTGGGGGCACTGCGCTTTTTCTTAAATTTTAACCATACGTCCACCTATTTAAAATGGCCAACAACGACTTTTGCCTATTTATGAAGAAAACTTGAGAACAGATATGCAGTTTATCATAAAGTGTGCGTGGTTTGGGGGTTTGGTTTGGGTTTGGGTTCTTATTGTTGTTTGCAGCTGTTTCCTGGCCCTGGCAAATGTCTGGCTCGGTGCCCAGCGCTTCTCTCAAATTTCTTTATAATAAAATTTCTGAAAAGTTGGAAACACGTCTGTCTCTTTTTGCACTTCCTAAGTCAGGGCCAGGACTTCCAAAGTGGCATTTGGTGATGGCTTTGCCAGGACAGAGCCCCTGATGTCAGTCGGATTCAGATAAAGCCTCGCCTGGCGTTCATCTGCCCTTGAAGGTCTGTGAGGGTGACAGGGCCTCCCTGGTTTCAGTTTTGCCATCTATGAAGTAGGATAATAAAGGCGCAAACACATAGGATTCTTGTGATAGATTAAAGGGTTATGAGCATAGGTGCTGGCAATGCAGATAGTAATACTCTTTTTAAGAAGTAGTAATAATTTTGTGACTCTTTTAAGTGTATCTGGAAAAAGAATTGTCTGGTGTGGAGCAGCTCCTAGGAGGCTGTAGCTTTTGGGCTCGTGACACAGCTATTTTGGGGTGACCTAGACAGAAGACCTTCTGTCTGGCTGCTTTTGGGGCCTCTCATTCTCCTATCATGTAAGCCCCTTTCTCTCAGATAACAACCCCACGAGGTGGGGTGCAATTTCTCTTTGAGCATTTTCCTCACTGGAGGGCCTTTTGTAATCCACGTGGGAAAAAGAAAAGAGAAAACCAAACCAACAAACAGAAACAACATGCTGTCATGTCAGCAGCATCGTCGCAAATGTGAAGCATAAATATTTCATGTGGTTACAATTTCCTTTCTATGTGGAGCTTGTCAGAACACGGTGACGACTTAGGCAGTTTAATATCGACTCCTACATCTACATGGGAGAAAACAACAGCATCATCAGATGCCACTCAGCCCAAAAGAGCAAGAGTGTGAGACTATCGGTCCTTCTTCGGAGGCGGAGCTCGAGTCCTCTGGAAATGTCCACATGCCGAGGCTGACAAGTCAGGAACACCCACACAGATTCTAAATACATTGCCTACAGGTGTCAGGGGACTGCCAAGTGGGTGTGGCCCCAGAAAGTGGGAATGGAGCCAGCGGTCGGTGGAAGGTACGAGAAGGCTGGTTTCAGGACCATGGAGCCGACAGAGCCAACTACAGTGAACGCTGTTATTGGTACCCCGCCCGGGTCCTTTCATTGGCCAGTGCCCATCTCCCAGCCCCGGAGTGTTGGCTGCGCACTGTGCACAGCTGCCCACTTTGCCCCAGTCATTGCCCTTGACCGGGAGGTGATGCCCCAACCCCCAGAGCTGCCCTCAGCTAATGACCAAGTACTGGAATAGCCAACTCTGTGGTACCATCTACACTACACTCCAGAGCTCCTGGCGGGATCAGGCTTCAGTGGGGCACCAGCTGCAACAGCGTCCCTGCTCAGCAATTTCCCCTCCCCACCCCACTCACTGCCCTCCGCGTCTGAGTGCATCCCTGGTAAATCACTCGATCCAGAATCCCTGCCTCAGGCTCTCTATTTGTAGTGAAGCGGTCCTGTGATGCTAGCTGAGCACGATGGGGCCCCATCAGTAACGTTTCTCTTTCACTGGCTCCGGCCCTACCTGCAGATGCAAGACTTTCAGCTCCTGACACCAACCCACGCCCAGCCCAAGGGGGAGTGAAGGCAAAGAAGTCCTCACCCCCGGGAACCGTATCTGGCATTCTTTCTATTCTGTCCTGTGATGGTGTGGCCACAACCCATGGAGCCACCAAGGCCCAATGTCACACCCCTGAAAAAGCACTGTAAAAGCATAGATGTCCCCTCCCCAGCCCCTGAGGTCCCAAAGCTGCTACCCTGGGTTCCACAGCCTCATAAAGGACCAGGTACTGGGTACCACTGCAGCTGGGGCACCCCCCATCTGCCAAGGCCATGCTGTAGTCTGGGCCTGCCACATCTCAAGGCCACGCACTATTGTCTGGACCCTACAGCAGTGCCGCTGACATTGTGAGGGCCCTCAGATCCGGCCTGCAGCCCGCCCATGGTCCATGGAGCTGGCCCAGAGACCAAATGACTTGCCCTTCCCAGTGCCAAGTGTCTGCTTCAGATTCCTCCATCTCACAGCCCCACTCCCCACCCCCTACGAATGCATCAGAATCTTCACAGGAGGCATAGCCTGGGCAAAGGCTGAGAGCCGCCTAGCCCACAAGGAAGGCATGGCTGGTCCTAAAATCGCCCAGCTGTAACCCCTCCCTCCAGGGCCCCATACGAATTTCCACATTAGACCAGAAAGTTTGAAAGAATCGTATGCAAAAAAGATCTGGTGTGCTGTTATAGATTTGGAGTTTTTTTTTTTTTAATTGCCCAATATATCAGTTATTACTTAGCTCTGTTCTCCAAATTGCCCCAAACTAATAACCCCAAACCCACCAAATGTTGATGGGCCATTCAGAAGAGGCAGTATGGGTGGTGGCGAGGAGGGAGAGAGGCTAAGGGCACAGTCTGCCTGGGAGAAGATCGACTCTGCTGCCCACATGTTGTATGACCTTGGGTGAGTTTCTTACCTTCTCTGTCTCCTCATATGTAACCTGGAGAGAGTAATAGCCTCCTTTTCAAAGGGTTGTAGTAACGAGTTAACACATCAAGTTCTTAGCACAGTAATTATTATTATTTTTGTTGTTGTTATTTAATCTCCACACCAGAAGGTAAAGTTTCTTGTATCGTGGACTAGTCAGGATGTGGTAAGTTCTGCCGCAGTAACAGCAACAACTCCTGACATCTCAGTGGCTCAACACAATAACCTTAACACTTTATTTCTGGCTCACTCTGCCCCACCATATACTTGCTGGATGCCCCCGCTGCGCTGTGAATCTCATACTGCCTTCCAGGGACAGGAAGGAGTCAGCCGGAGTACAGGGCAGAAAACTGCAGCTGAGAAGCAGCTAAAAAACCACTTTGAAGAAGTTCTGGTCAAGAGCGAAGGGACATAGAGGCCAGCTGTGATTTGGCTGCTACTCTCAGCTATGGACTAAATTGTGCCTCCTCAAAATTCACATATTGAAGCCTAATCCCCAATATAATATTTGGAGGTGGGGCTTTTGGGATGTGATTAGGTTTAGATGAGGTCATGACAGTGGGGCCTTCAGGTGGCATTGGTGCTCTTATAAGAGACACCGGACAGAGTGTCTCTCTCTCCTCCCCTCCCCTCCCCTCCCCTCCCCTCCCTTCCTCTCCTCTCTTCTCCTCTCCTCTTCTCTCTCTCTCTCTTTCTGCCCCCACGTGGGGACACAGTGAGAAGGCAGCAGCCATCTGCAACCTGAGTTCTCACCAGAAGGTAGTGACACCTTGATCTTGGACATGCACCCTCCAGAACTGTGAGACAATCGATTTCTGTTGGTTAAGCCCCGTCCGTGGTATCTCGTTCTGGCGCCCGAGCTCACTAATATTCCCTCAGAATTAGCAGGGGCTCAGGAGGGACGCAGAAAGGGGGCAGGACCCAGCAGGGCTCAGCAGTGTCAGATCGTGACTGTGGGACACCGACACAATAATTTCATGCTGTCTTATAATGCCAATTAGCGTCCACACGGGAGGAAGAATGTTAATTTTCAAGGTCCTTGATTTCAGTTTTAAAACTTCAACTTAAAAAGTCCGACTGCATTATGCGGCTTCTAACGACACGGGCTGCCCCCTGCTCTCCACTCCTCCCAGCCCCTAACTGCCACTGCCACTTGGTTAGCTGTTCTGTTATTTAGCCAATACTTACTGCTATTTCTTGACTTGTCCATTTTAAATATTATTTATGTGCTCCTTTCATCCCCCATCTAAGGAAGACCTATGACACTTACTGAGGGCCTACTATGTGCCAAGCATTTTACATATCAAGTCCATTTTGTTTATCACAACAACCCTGTGAAATAATTGTCAGTGGCTCTATTTTACCGATGAGAAGACCGAGGCGCAGAGAGATGGAATAATTGATCCCAGCACAAGTCAGTGGCAGAGCCAGGGCCTGCGCCTCGAGTCTGCTAACCTCCATACGCACGCGTGAACCATGGGGTTTCTCGGCCTTGGCGCTATGGACATTTTGGGCTGGATAAATTTTTGTCGGCAGAGGGAGGAGGGCAGGGAGAAGCGGTGTCCTGTGCATGGCAGGATGTTGAGTGGCATCGCTGGCCTCCGCTCGCTAGATGCCAGTAGCATCCCTCTCCCCCAGACATCGCCATGTGACCCCTGGAAGGCAAAACCACCCCCACTTGAGAACCACACGTTATCAGAAGTTTTGACTTCCGGTGGCTTCAGACTACTGCTGCCTTAGGCTAGGACGCCGAGCTCGGCTGGCATCGGCTTTTTGAGGATCCCTCTCTGGCTGCTGCCTTCCCTACAGGATGAGGGGTTCATGGAGTCAAAGAGACGTGCCACCTGGAGCACTCCACTTTTCTGAACCACGTTCCATTTTCAGGGCCTACGTGGGCCTGTGGCCAGTTTTCCTGGCCGCTGGAGTATGCACTCCTGCTCCTGAGAGGTGGCCGAGGGTGTTGTCGATGAGGGGAGGGAGGTAGACAGAGCTGGACATGTGAACTAAGTGGTCTGGACACAAATGTGCACGCACGCTCCCCCCTCCCCCCCACAGCAGAGGGTGTCGGAGATGGGAAGAGAAGGGTGGTGGGCTCCGGGCAGGGGCCTCTCTTGTATCTGACTCAGCCCGCAAATATTAGGGCCAGGCTGCTCCAGACCCTGGCTGCTGGTGTCACTGCTGAGAATGTGGTTCTAGGTCATGCATTTCTGACACATCAGTTAGAAGAATATCTTCACTTCCTTTTGAGGAAAACAGAGGATTTCATGCTTGTACACCTCTGTCTTTGCATCTCCTTCCTGTCCGAATAAATTTTGGTTTTGGTTTTTGTGCTCCATGCGCTTCATTTTCTCCCATCACTCATTCTTCCCCAAATCTCACAGAACCAGGAACTCGGTCTACAGATGGTCAGATACTCCATGTTCCAATCCGCTCCTTCTAGTGTTACTTAGCAAATCCCTTTGCTCTTCTCCGCTGTGGGGTCCTCTCCTTCCTGGATCCCATCCAGCCCTCTTTCTTGTTTTGCTTCCTTGTTGTGGTGGAGCACATCTGGCAGTAGCTAAGAAAAGGTAGGTGGGAAATGAATTTGCAGTTCTACAAATGTTTTTACTCTCCGCTCGCACTTGGTTGGCTGTTTTAACGGGTGAAGACATCTAAGTTAGAAGCAACGTCCTCTGCAAATTCTCACGGCTTTGCTTTATCGCCTTCTGGTTTCCAGCATTGCTGTTGAAGAGTCTAACATCACTCCGTGTCCCATTTCTTTGTATGTTGCTTGCATTCTCTCCTTTCTCTGGTAGCTTTTAGATTTCCTCTTTGTCTGCTATGTCTTGAAATCACACAGTACAATACTTTTAGGTGGGTCATTTTCTCATTCCAATCCGAAGAGTGCTAGATGGTCTCCCTCCTCCAACTTCTTCTGTCTTCCTCCCAGACAGAAGCGGTGAGGACCGTGGTCAAGTGGAGAGAGTCCGCCTTGCCAAAAAGTGTTTAAGTTCAACGTGTTTGAAAGCACCGTGCTGGCCAATACAAAACAAGTTTTCCCGGCAAATGCAGCCTTCGAGCATCTCGTTCGTGGCTTCTGTTGAAGAAATGGGCTTTGAAGACAGAGAGACCTAATTTTGAATCTTTGCTTCTTATCTGTAAAACGCAGTCATGTTTCAAATCATAGAGCTGTTGGGAGGAGTACATGAAATAATGCGAGTAAAGTGCTAACTGCGGGGCCTGACACATAGTAAGTGCTTAATTTATAGTAACTGTTATTATTGTAGTGAATCGGAGAACAGTGATGGTGATGAATTTTTTTTATAAAAGCAGCCTTCCTTCTCTTGAGCCAATTAAACGATCACTGGTGTGGCAGTAACGCCATCTGGTGGTCAAAGTTGAGAACTGCAGGGCAGTGTAGCAGGCCTTACAGAATGGTTAGGAGCCAAACAATGTTATTCATCGTCCCAGAAAAGGAAGCCAGGAAGGTTTGAGATGTGAAGAGGCAGAGACAGGATTATAACCAGGGGCCTGACTTCAGAGCTATTGCACCAAACCACACTGCTGTTCTGCTACCACATAGCACAGCGCCTGACCCACAGCCACCTGACTCCATTGAATGTGGAGTTTCTCTTCTCTTGGTAGACCAGCAAGACAGAGGCAGAGAGCTGGGGGAAGGGGAAAGAAGTTCAGCTTCTGTAGATACAGTCAGAATTTTGCACAAAGAAAAAAATTAAGCCTACTTTAATTTCAGCATACGTGCAAATTTTGTGTTGCACAGTTTAGGTATTGTTTTTATTTTGAGTGACATATTAGAAGGTGTTCCATATAATTTTTTCAGGCTTGAAGCCTCTAAAGGTTGTCATCTGGCTGGTTTTTTTGTTACATGCAGCCAAAAGCATCCTGAGCATCTCTCCCAGCACAGCTGGATCCTCTGTGGGTCCAACAGAGATTGTGAAAATTCCCTTCTAGCCACTCATTCCAAATCTGAATCCCACAGCTCCTGGGTCCCCATCTTTTCTCTGCCTTGGGAGAGTCCTGCTGAGACCCCAAAGCAGTTGTCGGTGACCACAGATCCCGGCAATGTCCCAAAGGTGGTTTTAAGTTTCCCCGTGGCTGAGGACGGGACATACTGCCTAGATAGAGCTGCAGGTGGCTGAAACTGGAGGAGGCATCAGCCAGGTTGCACTGCACCTGAGCCACCGGAGGGCACCTGCCTCCGATCAATGCCACCTGACTCCCAGGTTCCAGCGCGGGCTCAGGAATTAGCCTTCTTTTCAAACCATCCCAGGCAATTCTAATACAGCTATCCCGCTGCCCCCCACCCCTCACTCCCATCTCCACACACACACACA